TTCAGCATGATTTTCATCACTCGCATTCGAATTGTGAACCTGAGCAGATCTCCGAGCAGAGAAGCTTTTCGTCCTGCAAACTCCGAATTCCGAAATTCTGACCAAGTGTTTTATCATCAAAAGAAATACAACTCGTTCAAACTTAGACTTTGTCCTAGCCAATTCACTGAGCTCATATTAATAAATTCAACTCTTCACTCTCGCGAAAAGAACTTTAATTCTTACCTTCAAATTCAATTGCTTCTTCTCCTAATTTTTCATCCATTCCATATCACATTTTCATCTTTGTGAGTTTGTCTGTTTGACATATCTTTTTCTCACAGTAGAAGCGTAAAAAATAATAATGACTTAAAATACGTCAGTAATATAGAGTAATTCATACATATAATGTACTAATGTCAATACTGAGGTTAAACAAACCCAATATTAGGAAAAACATCAAATGATTATAGGCAGATAATAAAATCAACCACAAAAACACAATTTATACTTGCTTGAAGAAAAAATCACACCCACCAGAACAGACCTCATAAGAAAAGCAGCAAATACAGAACCTAAAAATAATAATACGAATTATACAAGCCTCACATATTTTTGTAACTCAAGAACTTACGAATTTCCAATACAGAACAGAATTATGCAAACGTCTGGTTGATCAGAGAAAAGCCTGGTCGTGCAGAAATTATATACAGCATCCAACAAAATTACGAAAATGGGATTTACGACCAAAATTTCTCAAATAAAAATTCGACACCTGCATGACAAAAAATAAAAAACATTTAGGCACTGAAAAGCTCTCATTACCAGAAACAATCCCGGCTTCATCAGCAGTCACTCCTTCAGCCCGTTGGTAATCATCCCGGTGGAAATAAACGCTCGTTTTCGCACAGCTTTTGCGTAGATGTACGTGTAGTAGGCGACTTCCGTCGACGTCGCGATTCCGTAGGTGAATTCCATCACCTGCAGTAATGGGAAATACATTACAATGAGACTCCCAGTTGCGGACATGATCGGTGCATCAAGAGTGTCCTGAAGTTGAAATATCCGTAGGTCAAGTCTCATTTTTCCATTAGACTTACATTTTATAATTTTTAATTGCTGTTTTATAGACAAAATACTCACCATAATTCCATGAAAATAAAAATTGTCTCCCAATTTCAACTGATTCCAATCAATATATTTCAACGCAATATGGAGAGTTGAGGAATTGAATACTGATACCTCTGTACAGTACATAGAAATATTGGCATTCTCTGTAAGAAAAAACCTTCAATTGAAAAATAGAGAAGGAAGTCCCTCTATGCTGGAGGTAAGTTTTTTTAATTAGCTAAATGGATGGTAAATTGGTGGGAGAAATGCCCTGGCACTTTTCTTACACCAATTTTAGGGTTGGAAATGTCTGTTTCTTGCAATTTGGCCTGAAACTTATTTGCAAGTTTGTCACAAAATATCCCTATGTCGAGTCATGCAGGAATAAATTATTCTGTTAAAAAAATTTCATAATGCAAAGGGTTTGTCTGATGTCCTGGTAGAAACACTGTGAGGTATAATATTTTTCAAGCAACAAATTAATTATTTGAAGATTTATCCATCATTTTTCAAACTATATATTCCTGAAGTACCGTATCCAAGTTTTGAAATTTTCTGAAAGCTGAGCAATATGAAAATTTTCGGAAAAGCTACGACAGTCATGAACTGTAATTTGAAAAGTTTCTAGGAATGAAGGGGAAATTGATTCATTCATAATGCTGCATCTTGCTCGAATAAATTAAGAAGCTGTATTTATGATCGAGAAAAAGTTCGTCTTTCGATTGATTTATCCGTCATGCTTCGAATGAAGTTACGAAAATATCCGAATTTTCAAATTTTCTGGAAGTTGAGCGATTTAAAAATTCAGACAAATTGTAATTTGAACAGATTCCAGGGATGAAGAGGAAACAAGTTTATCCCCAACTGCATCCTTCTCGAAAAAATTAAAAAGCCGAATTTATGCTCAAACAAAATTTAAATTTTGAATCCTTCTAAATTTCGCATAACTCGATATCCATAATATAAGGATTGCTATACACAAGGAAAATGCAAAAAGCGACTAATGAAAATTTCCCAAGCAGTGTGACAATGGACTAAAATCACGATTTCTAAAAAAAAAAAACGGAGTGTTGTAAAGCGGAATTTTGGCTGTAAAAATCTAATTTCATAAACACGAAGAGTACTTGATATATGATTCCTTTTTTAATTCTCCCATTGCATTGCATGTCTATCATAGCCATTTCTTCAGTTTCGACTGAAAAGTTGCAACATCATACGGTTAGTTGGATATATTTGTGTTCCATCAATTTTTTCACAAATCAGACAGAAGTATTGTGGAAAAACATATCGTTTCCGGGAAAAATTATATCCATCAAGTCGACTTAAAGAAATCTTGAACCCAGTTGCATACATTGTAGGGGATGAAGACGTCCGGAGAATTGAATAAAATTCCAATTCAAAATTCATTTGATTAATCTTCCATTTTAACCAGTTCAGAATTCTTTTTTTTTCCGAATTCAGACCAACGTTTTCTTGGCCATTTTTGTAGATGCGCGGAAAAAATATCGACTATAAATTCGTCAAGGATAAATTAATGATATCAATATTAAGGTTGCAAAAGCATTTGAATAATTTTCGACGAAAACCCCAATCAAATACAAAAGTATGCTATTTCAGTTGTTTGAAGAATAAGAGCGTGGGACATGATCACTATTATTTTTTTATTCGGAGTTATTGTTGTGAATAAAGGTTTTTGTGACGCAGGTGACTCAATTTTTCCACATTAAACCTGCCCGCTTCCGAAAATTAGGCTCCATTAAAAACTTACACAATTGTATTCACGCAACAACAAAAAAAGATCTCAAGTGAAGAAAATAAATGAAAACCAACCAAAACAAAAATGAAAGACGCAATACCTATAACAGAATTTGCAAATACAGTCGAAAAAAATTGAATTTGCAATGTTCCCTTTTTTTCTCCCGCGAATGGAGCGATATTGAACCTGAAGTTTGCTTATTCGTATTTTCCTCAAAATTAAAGAGTGAGGGATATGATCATTATTATTTTTTTTTTCTGAGTTATTGTTGTGAATAAAGGTTTTTGTGACGCAGGTGACTCAATTTTTCCACATTTAACACTGCCCGCTTCCGAAAATTAGGCTCCATTAAAAACTTGCACAATTTCATTCCCACACAAAAACATATCCCAATAAGTGGGGAAAAGAAACGAAAACCAACATAAGAAAACAAAAATGAAAAGGAACCCTTCACCTGCATGGCGAAGACGCCACGAGCCCAGAGAAGCAGGGACCAAGTGGCCACATAAGCGATGCCTTCAATGACGATGACCGGCTTGTAGCGCAGCAAATCCGTCAGCAGGAACACAAAGAGCAACAGCACCAAGTACGAGTAAGTCCACACCGGGTACACGTTTTGGTACACGTCTTCGCCAGTGAGGTTGACCCATTGCGGCCCGGTCAAGTACTCGGTCAAGAAGGGCTCGGAAGGACGCAGTTCTTTGAAGAACCCGTAGGAGCACAACAACAGCGTCGTCACCACCCACGGTTCCATTTTGAGGCTTGTACGTTTATTTTTTTGTTTGAATACAATATATTCAATGCACTCACTTGGAGAGAGAGTTATTATTTCTCTCTCTCTTGCACACACACATATGCAAAAAAACAAATTGCACAACCCGGGAACAACCTGAAATCATCATTCACGTCAAAAAAAAAAAAATTAGCTTCAGTCAAAATTCAAAAGGATGCGTTCGAAAGCTCTCGTAGTCAATCATTATCAAATACGGAAGCAATTACCGACGATCAGTTTAAAATTGTTTTTAGAACGTCTAAGAGACACTTTTTTCACGGGACAAAAGACTAAATTTCCACGATTCCCATTTAATCGCAGTCATTATTCAGGGAAGTTTTTGCTCAGAAATTGAAATATCAGCGTCTTCACATACACTATACGGAATAATAATTTTAAAAAGGCTCCATTTGTTTAATTGCCACGATTTCCATTCAATCGCAGTCAGTATTCGGGAAAATTTCCACTCAAAAATCGAAATACCCGAGTCATCACGGCCACTAGGGAATAATAATTTAACAAAAGATTCAATCTGTTTAATTTTCACGATTTTTATTTAATCGCAGTCATTAATCGGGGAAGTTTTTGCTCAGAATCTGAAATTTCAGCGGAACTTTCGTAAAGCGCATCGTCATCACGAAAATTCCCGAGAATATAGGATCTTAGCAGCAGAGACTATAAGTCACTAATACAAATTTTCCTAATTTTACATAATTTGAAGATCGTCGTTTAAATTGAAGCAATTTTCGATGAGAAAGAGACAGTCTTCATCAATAATGCAGACATGAGATATTTCCCGGCACCGGAATCAAACAAAGGCACTTGGGAAATTCCCAAGAAACAAAATCTTCGCGGTGGAACGAACATAAAAAAAATATAGATAACCACACCCGCAATCCTAAAGAAAACCATGCTGAAACTTCCTCAAGGTAACCATGGTTTAATATAAGAATTTAATATGTACGATTTTTTTTTGCAACAAAAAAAATTCGTTGAAAATCTACACGCATCCTATATTTTTTCATAATTTCAGTGGCCGAAAATTCCATGAAATGTTTAATTCAACTTTTCTTAAATTGTAAAAACAGATTCGCCTCAACTTTATTCATGGTTTAATTCAGATACTTTTAGTTATTTCCGGTAGCTTTTCAACAACTGCATTCCAAAAATCAGTCTGAACTTCTCTGCCAAGCCACTCAAGTATACCTCGCGTACCATCCTCTCCTCCCCCGTTCGTCTTCTGCAAAAAAAAAAGTGCACACGTCATGAGATTAAATAAGCGAAATTGAAATTAAATAAATCACGAGTTCCACACATACTGAAAGAGACACACACGCGCAATCCGGGATAAAACCAGACAAAAACCTTCTCCCCGGAAACCGAGTCAGCAAATAACCAAAAAACTCACACAATTGGAGTGCATATCGAAAGATTATCAAAAGTTTTCCTCACATACACACACAAATACACATACAGAGGAACGTCTCCTAAGAAGATTTTATCACGCACAAATAACACACAGGAAAATACCGACAATAGAAGCCAAATCGCGCAACTGTCAAGTCGAATAGTACTTAAGTCGAGACCAGATAACACACACACACACACATACGGGAATAATATAACGAGAGGATCACGTCATGACGTCGCACTTGAGAGATGACGAATATAAGGAGACCCCAGCAGTAATAGCACAATAATGTCGCCGAGTCACGCACAGGATCGTGAGTGCACAGCACTCGTTAATTCATCCCACTGTGAAAACGTCCGTGTCTTCATTTATTAAGAGAAGGAAGGTTTATTTTATTTGCTGTTTATTTTTTGGAAATTCAATCAAAGCATCACGCGACAGGTAAAAAGTCCGTTGATAATAAAGCAAAATTCCATTACAACGAATCTTACAAAAAACTGTTCGTCAAGTTTTTCCTTGGGCACACTGCTAATAAGATAATCTCATTTTAACAAACTCATTTTAGGCAGTAATCTTTTCATACCAAAATGTTGTCTCTGATTCTGTGCATATAGGCTGTAAGGATTATCCAATAATTGGCAGGAAAATAAGGAAAAAATTGTACTGGTGCAGCATTCCAACTTGATTGCAGTAGCAAAACACACTGCTGTAAAAACAATTTGAGAAAATTGATAAAAAAAATACAAAAATTAAAAAAATTAACTGACAGCATATTTTTTATAAATTCTTTAGCTTCATTGCAGAATGTAGGCCTTTTTTTAAATGAACAGTATGTTGGAAAAAATGTCTTATTGGTCATTTTAAGAATGGGTTTTTGTCCGCCATTTCCCTCGAAAATCCAGCCAAAAATATGTTAAAAATCTATGAATTTAGATTCAAGGAATTTTAACATGCAAAACGCATTTTCATTTGGTCCATGGGAGTTTCTTATTGTGAAGAGATATTACCGTATTAAGTCAAGTAATGCATCAATCACTAAATTTATTGAGCAAATTTTCCCTCAGCGGGGCATCATAAGAATGCCGTTGGACTGGCTATGAATTTATTCGTTTTTAGGCCCGCGAAAATTCCCTAGACGAATTTTTTTTAAATCACCCGTCTGCAAACCTTCGAAATATGCTTCAAGTATTCCTCTTGCGAACAATAATTAGTGTAAATTTCCGTTCGTGACATTAATTTAGGTCTACATTATTCCCGACAATCTCGGCCTTCTCGTGTCCAGAGAGGAAAATTACCCAGTAATAATTAAAATTTTTTCATAATTCCACAATAACGATTTTACGAAAAATCGACACAAATATATCAGTGCTTCGAAGTACAGGTGGACTCTGTCTACAACAAAATTCAAGCGACTAGAAAAATTCGATGAAGAGAACCCCTGAAAAATCGGGAGAGAATCTCATGGGACCAGAAATTAATTCATTACACAGTACTGTAAATGGAAAATCGTTGTTGAGAGAGTTCACCTAAATTCATAAAAAAAATTGCCTCTGGCACGATTAAAAAATAAACACTAAAACTGCTTTTGGTTGAATTCATCCTCTGTAGTCCGCACAAAAAGTTAGCGGGATTTTTTTTAAAAATGGCACCAAAAAGGCGCTGAAAGCACAGCATAATTAAAATCTGCGAGGTCACCAGGAAGGTCAAATTTTAAAATCCTTTCTGACACAAAAAAAAAAATACTCCAAAGAATCTCATCCTTTTCCCGAAATATTTCCTTCCTGACATGGAAAGTAATCGAGTAAAACCTTCACAAAATTTTCGGCGGACAGCGATCATTCAACAACCTCATTTCTTACTCACACGACGTCCCGCCGTTTATAAATGTCGGTAGACGATCAGGATAAACTAGGTCCCCTGGAAGACGACACTTCCAGCACTTCCGGAGAACCGCCTGTCGACAGTGTCGAGAAATGGACCGACGACGACGACGTAAAGTCGGAGGACAAAGTTTGCGAAACGACGCGGTTCCTGGATATTTTTGAAGCGGTTCGGAAGCGCTTCCGGCACGACTCCGACTATGAATACATGTGCTTCCGGTTCAGCCTGCTCTCTGAGAAACGACAAGTATTCCAATTGAACATCAATATTATTAAATGTAGTACAGTATTTTGACTGGATCAACTAATACACCCGGCAAAAGTTCAGGGTGAATTATCAGTTCCATTCGCACTTTTTGAACATCAGGTAGGTGTCGCCTCAAACAAAACTTCGAGTGTTACATAAAAATGCACGATAACGTTGATTTGCATGATTCTGTTTAACTATAATGCCATTTTGAAAATACAGGGTTTTATGACAGTGTTCCCCAACCCGTGGTCCGCTAAAGTTTATTCCCGGTTCAAAGAAATGTTTTCCAGCATAAAAAATGTATACAAAGTAGGGATGTAGTCTATTATATGCATCTGAAATTTTGGGAGGACACTGGCGGTTGAAATCACAGAGTCTGATGAGAAAAATGAAAGCTGGATTTTCTTCTGATAAGACAGACAAATTTTCACCTCCTGAAATAATTTATTGTAATTTTTCATTCTGAAAAACCTTTCTTCAAGTCCATCATTCTAGTGAATGAATGAATGAATGAACAGAACACTTTATTTGCCGCTTTTCAGCGTTCACAAGGTTCAATCAAGGTTTCCACAACCAAACCCCCTTCCCANAAGATTGCCACAACCAAACCCCCTTCCCACCCAACCCAAATCCACTCATCTTTCCAATTTTTTCAAGATATTCTACCATAGCAGCTTCATTGGTTCTTGAATTAATTTTTGCAGAAATATTACAAGTACCTGCCATGGGAAAATTTTTTTGAGTCATCTTTAAAAATTCTATGAGACTTCGCTGGTCTGCACAAGATTTTCCAGAAATTTGCTGGTCTTGAAAAAATTTAATGGAAATTTGCCGGTCTGCGGGCCCAAAAAAGTTGAACATTGGTTTGAGAAATTATTCAATTATTTATCCTCACTGCATCCAGAATTAAGTACAGTACCATGTTATCATCATACGACTTCATATGTTTTGAACCTTGTGAACGCTGAAAAGCAGCCAAAAATGCTTCATTTATCAATAATCCAGCGACGTTGATATTTTAATTACTGTATACCCAGCCTTCAGATCAACATTTGGGCGCAATTTATTTTCAAAAAACAATTGACACGATTTGAAGCATTTCAACTTATGATAAGATCTTGAACAATTTCTATGAACTGCTGACTACTGTAGATAGAGTACGTGCTACAACACCCGGTATTCGAAAGATACCGACCCAAGCTGAGCAGAGTTGGCAAGGATGGAAACAGGGCTTCGGAATTGAAATTAGAGGCAAATGCTGCCTTTAAAGCCAGAGATTTCAAAAAGGCTCTGGCATTGTTCAACTCCGCCTTGATGTTCGCTCCGAGTCCGATTTACGCGACTAAAGCCGAAGAATATTTCATGCGGAAGCGGTTATCGGATCTATCTGGTGATTGACAAAATTCCGTTTCTTATGTTTTCACCGAAAAATTTAAATTGAAGTTCTGGGAAGTTACGGGAGTTCGACCCCCTTGCGATTGGAATATTGCAATGGGTTGCTCAACAGTCCTGCCAATCACTTAAAAATGCTTCTCATATCGTCGCTGATGAATATATAAAGGTCGTCCACTACCAACAAAATGAGCTTTTTTCATGCTTCCCTCTCATTCAAAAGATTAAAAATTTGAAACAATCATGAACCTCTCCCTTTAATAAACTACAAATCAAAAATCGGATGATCAAAATTTTAAAATTCGATTAGAATTGTTTGAAAAATGTCGATACAAGAACTCCAGTAATTCTCGACTATATTAAACGTCATTAGGTTTGTATTGAAAGTATCGAAAGCCATCAGATTTATCAAATAGTATTGATCGAAAAATAGATGTACGAAAAATTTTCGACGCCCAGGGGCAACATTTGAAAGATCGGGAGCTATTTTTCTGATTTATTTTTGGACCATGAGGTTTTTCCCTCAGAAATACTGCATGAGAAAATTCATTATTTTTCTATGCCAAAAAAAAAATCGTCGTTGAAATATTCTAGGAGGGTGCATTTAAATTATTTTGACGTTCATTTCGATGTAAAGGGTTGCATATTTACTATTTTTCAACTTTTTTTTAAACTCGCTGATAACGAACGAAATTTAAATTTTTGGGCGACAATGTCGCATGCATCTGAAAGATACCCACTTCCGAAAAAAAAAACTCACTTGAATAGGCACCTTTTTTTCAAGGTATTTACAAACAGAAACTGAAGCCAAATGCTCGACCACGACATGCAGCTGCAGTTGCTTCAGTTTTCTTCAATCGTGCCAACACATTGTATCGCTTGCGACGCTATGGCGACTGCATAATCGACCTGCAACGAGCATACAACCTGGGTTACTCCAGAGTGTCTCCAAACGAGAACCGAACACTTTTATTCAAAAGGTAATTGGGTACTTTCCTGTTATCTCTGTACCTCATTCCTAGACCGCACTACCATCCAGACAAATCTTTAGGACAAGTTCATAGTCACAACGACCTACCAGAAACTGTGAATTTTATTTTTCCGCATTCTGCTAAAACTGATTTTGGGAGGCATTTAGGTAAAGTTAGGTTAGGTCAGGTTATGTTAGTTACAAATATCTTTTGATTAACAAACCTGACCTAAAGGTGAAGTTAGGTTAGGTCAGGTTAAATTGGTCAGAGGGAAGGTACAGAGATAACAGGAAAGTAGGTACAGAGATAACAGGAAAGTACCAATAATTCAAAAACTGTAATATTCATTTTCAAAATACTGTAGAAAAAAAATTGAGGAGGCTCCCTTGAATTTTATACAAGAAATCAGGACAAACGCGATCAGCAGAAAATGCGAGGGGTGTCTATGATCTCCACGTTTTTAAATTTTTGGAAAACAATTTCTTATTTTGTCGCTTTCTTCTCCAAAAGAATCATTTGTAGTTCGCAAAAATTTCTCACTTCTCCTTGTAAAGGTATCGATATCTATAAAAAAAACTGATGCCAAACCCCACCTCCCTGAAAAATTCAAATTTAGAACAGTATATAAATATCGAACTTGAAATCTAGGATTTGAAAATTCCTCAAGAACGGAACGAATTTATCTTTCCTCATTTATATTTTAAGCGTTCGGTTTAAACACGTTTCTATGCTCGTTTTTTATAACAAGCTTCGCTTCAGGTACTTTTGATTATTTCATTTGACACCTTTCTTGACTTTGAAAACGTTGTGTTGAAAAATCGTTTGAAATCCGTTCGTGATTCAGAGAAATTTCTCTGGAGTCTAGAAGATCTGATTCGATTTCTTTAGACATCTGAGATCGTTTCTCACCTTCGCACACGATTTTAAATATTGAAGTCTCAAATTAAAGGAACGGACGATTCTTTTTCCATAGTACAAAATGGGTCGGACAGGAAACAATTTCAAGAAAGGATATTATTGTCAATCCGTTATAATGACAAAAAAAGCACATGATTGTGCACTGACTCAACTGAGCAAACTTTTCGTAAAATAACCGGGCAATTTACAGTATTGTGATCTCATAAGTCACACAATTATTCGCAACAAAAAAATAAATTACAGCTTGGTGCAAGCTGGGCATTTTCGCATGGCGTCAACGATGCTCGCAGAATCTTCCAATGTCAAACTCAAGGCAAAATGGCAGCATTTTATGGAGAAACGAATGACTTCCGGGACCGGACATCCGCTCGCAGGCCTCAAATTTTCCCGCTCAGAATACGCAAGAACTGCGGATGATCTACAAATTGATCTCGAGCCTGGGGAAACGCATCCGGAATTCACGAATTTGAGCACAGCCGTGGATTACGCTTATTCTGCCAAAAAGGGAAGGCATTTCATTGCAGCCAAGGACATAAAAGTAGGTGCGAAACAAAAGAAATGGAAAAGCGGTTTTTATTGATTTTCCTCATACAATCACAAATTTTTTTTTTAGATAAATTAAAGCTGAACCTTCCTATAGGTCTCATCCAAAAGGACTTGAATATTTTGCAACTGAAGTTCTTGAGTTTGATACGAGATAATTTGTGTAGCTTAATTAAGGAACATTATTTTCTGACCAACTAATTAAAATCGCAACCTTACGGACGTACGTTCGACCTACAGAAAGGTTTTTAATATTTTATGAAATCTTCAAGATCTTATTTTGTGTCTCTTTCTGTTTCGCTTCTCTGAAACAGGTGTTCTGAATTTTTCCCCAGCAGGTTAGAGCAAACATTTTCGATATTGCGATTCGTAAAATACACTGATCCTGAAGTAACTGGCCAAGGATGAACTGGAAATTCGATACACCTAGGTTTTCCTCAGGAGTCAAAGCCCCAACATTATTTAGTACAGTACTGTACTTGAAATAAATATAGAATTACCGAAATGTATGTCTATTAAATTTTTTGGAACTCCCAATTCATGCTGAAAAATGGCGACAATATCTCACAAGTAAAAACTATTCAATGAAGTTTGCTCTCCTTGGTCTGCTTTTGTTCAAAGTGAGCGTCTCAATGCGGATAGATGTCACTAAAAGTCGAAATAAGCTATGTATTTCTATTAGAGGCTCCTGTTGTAAAAAGAATTTGTCTTCCTTCCGGTTATTCATTGCTTCCTGCACATGAGAAAAACAGGTGATCACTCTCGGTAACGTTGAATAATTGTTTTGGGTTAACAATTTAAATGATTAAAAAACCCCAATTTTGTGATGAAATGCTGTTGATGAAATGCACGAGGCCGGGTTTATAGTTGAATAATGCGAGACAGGTGGACAATGATTTTGTTATAAGAACAACGAATTTTTTTTGGTGTCCGATAGGAGTTTCTCCCGATGTTACAGGGGTTCTCTGCAATTAAAGTCTTCCAACAATTAATTAATTTCTGGCCCCTCAAATTTCTATATGCAATAAATCACGAAAGATCAAAAATCACCACGAAAATTTTCAAAAGTACATCATTTGAGATGAATGATGAGTTGATTTCAGATAAGTGTCGATGCCAGGTTGATTTTTAAATCAAAACATACAGATAACTGATTCATGAGTTCATTGGACGGCTAATTAATTCTGTACTTGGTAATATAATTAGTAGAACAAATTTCGGCAATGGGCATGTGTTTCTGGAGAAGGAAACCATCGAGGCCTGGAAAAAGCTTTCTAAAATAAGACGAAAAAAAATATAGTGAATATTCTGCAATAAGGTTACCTTCAAAAAAATCAGAATACGTTGATTTATTCACAGCTATTCACGTTTTTAAAACATATTTTTTCAATTTCAACAAGGGTCCACCAAAATATTTCTTTGCCAATAATCATCGGGGAAATTGTCTATTATCCAGCGGTGAAATGAAATATACACCCAAGATTTTACAAAACAATAATATGAATAGATATTTCTATATACGCGTCAAATAGACAGATAGTTCTTTAAGAGAGACTTCCAAAAATATATATGCAAGGAAGTTTCTCTGAGAATGCATGCCGCAATAGTTCACAAGATTCTGATTCTTCCTGAGGAAAGTCCACTGCTTATATAAAATATGGGCGATTATTAGTTGAATGACCAGGGAATCATTTCTTGGAGAAGAAATTATTTCTGATGCATAATTTGGAGGTTATTCCTCCCAAAGAAATCATTGTGTGCAAAAACAGGATTCGGCAAATTACTTGGGGCTGTGAAGCCTGACAAATACAATTTTGGGTATAGACAAGAATTGTCAAGAAAAAAATATCTTGGAAATTGCTCCCAAGCCTTGAAGGGAGATTTAGTCTAGCAAATAACATTGGAAAAATGTGTTTTGTCACAGACTTTTCCTAACATTTCAAATTACCTATATTAACGGAATATAATGTTTCTGAAGGAAAATCTTTTCAGAATATCGGATAACACGTCTCACACTGGGAAACCATTTCATATATATATATATCCCCAATCCATGTATAGGAGAGGTTCTGGTCAGTGAGAGGCCCTATTGCGTGTCTCTGCGACCCGAACACTGGCACAACAGATGCCTCAACTGCTGCAAGAAAACAGACACGCCTGTGCCTTGCATTTCTTGCGCCATGGTGGTATTTTGCAGCGAGGCTTGCAGAAGAGAGGCAGAAGGCATTCACGAATATGAATGTCCCATGATTGGGAACATGGCAGAGGCAGCAAACACGAGGATCGGATGTCTGCCCACGAGAATCGTGCTCAAGGCTGGTTTGAACACCATGTTGAGGTATGAGAGGGTTCTCTTTCTACCACTGGTGGGATTTGAAAGTTGCAATTGAAGAATCCAGCATTTCATACTGATGGAAAAAAGCTTGAGAAAGATTTACAAGTATTGGATTTCAATGATGAGACCCTTTCTGAAATCTTAAAGGATCGAGATAAACTGTTGGCCTTATATGATTTCTCATCAAAGATTATCTCTAATTTGTTCATTCAACTAAACCTCATACAGAAACAAGCTGAAGAACTTGTGCTTTAAATTAATTTTTACATATCTTGCGTTTTCAATATCAGGGAATGAATGGGTGTATGCATACATGTCAGATGTCCAGTTGTATTTTGTGGATTGTATTTTTTATTTTTGTTATCAATTTGTCCTCTGTTTCCTGCTCTGAAGTGATTAAATGTCATTGGGTTGGGTTGGAAGGGGTTTGGTTGTGGAAATTTTGATTAAACCTTGTGAACGCTGAAAAGTGGCAAATAAAGTGTTCTGTTCATTCATTCATTCATTGAAGAATCATTGGAGGCAACTTTTCTACACATTTTTTCATCAGCTGAAAATTTCTGACTTATTTGTTGCAAATTAAAATTGCAAAACTCTAATTTGGCATGCATCATTTGAAAGAGCAAGAATTGGTATTTCTTAAAAAACTTGTTCTTGCTCATCTTTGTGAGAAAAGGGCATAACTGGTTCTCAGACCTGTTCTCAAACCTCCAAGGTTTACATCATGACTAAAAAGTTGAGAAACTCAAAGGCCATGAAGGCCATCTTCTGGGAAGATTCCCTGATCCTTGAAGAAAACGTTTCCTGATTTATCTTTTCTCCTTTTTTGGCATTCCGTTTTTGACTCCTGTGTGTATCACTCAAAAGGGTTGCAAAAACGAAGTGTATTGAATTTGCTAAGACTGAATAATACCAACGTTAAAATAGGGTGAAAACACCCTGGTTGCAGCCCAACTGAATTCTTGAGTTTTATTGTAAAATACCCTAGTTCCATCTAAATTCTCAACACCATTCTTGAGAGGTAGAGAAGATGGTAAAATGATGTGTTGATTTTTTCTATAACCAATGCTTCATCATGCTTTTTAGAGAAATTCTGAAAGTCACAATTGAAATTTTTTCGGCGAAAGCCGTTTTACTCAATTTGCGATCAACCTTGATTTTAAACACACTCAAGAGTTGGTGAAGATGGAGAAAATCTGCGTTAATTTTTTGTTCGAGAACCAAAGCTTCACCATTTTTCGAGAGACATTTTGAAAGTCGCGAACGTTTTGAGAGTCGCAATTGGAAAAATCATGGGAGTCAGTCGCTCTAAAAAATTCTCGATCAACCTTAATTTTGAATACACTCAAGACATGCGTTGCTTTTTTTTTGAGCACCAACGCTTGACCCATCCGCTATGCATACAAGAAGAATTACTACATTTTGCTGACCACTTTCTTAGGTAGTTACATCTTTTTTCAAGATTACTGGAGAAAAACGGACGAATTGCATCAAATCGTTTCGATTCTTCTCTTAGATGTCACTAACGGATCAGTTTAAACTAGCGCCAAAAGATGAAGCAAAAGCGTAAAAACTGGATCACTGACCAATACCGAATTTGCTCCTACATTAGGATTGCTGAATAAGTTTTACGCCAGTCAAGAATCCAATGATTTAAGATTGAAGGGTTGTGGAATGTTTGATTTAAAACAAACAAATTCATTCAAGAGAGGATATTTTACACCGCGTACACACAGCTAAAAAACATGCCAATTTTCGAAAATTTGTAACAGTTCGATGATGTTTTATAACTATGCTTGAATGACGCCAGAAAAATAAAATGAATATTAAGTTATAGCTGCCATTCACTAAAAACTGAAAATTGAGTTCACAGCGAGAAAACTGAAAAAAAAACACGGAATCGATGCCACGTCACGATCAGCACATTTTTGCAGATAGTTTTTGTTTTGCAGCCGGATTGGCCAAAAAAAGTTGAAGAAAAATTTGAAAATGATCGAAAAGAACCAATTAAGAATTTGATCATAATCCGCCTTCTATCAGTCACTTTTTGATTGATTTTTCTTGATTTTTTAGACACAGATATCAGCTGGAAAACCTGACCGAAGCAGATATGAAGCTCAGATTTTTGGAAACCCCCGTGACGGGAGAAAATTACTTGGACGTTTGCACTCATTTGTTGCACAAAAACACTTGGAAACACGACTTGCTTTTTCAAGGCATGTATCGTTATTTTTTTTCCATTGTCAGCTTGAAATATTGACCAAAAAATTTGTGTTTTTCCACAGCGGCATTGTTCGTGGCGTTCAACCTTCTTCTTCTCAAAAAGATCCGCTTTTTCGACCCCGAAAACGCGCTTGCAGAGTCGTTCATCTCGCATAATTCTTCCGAAGAAGAAGAATCGACGACGACGACGACAACATCGGCTTCGTCGACAGAGAGCTGCACCTCGACAGAATCTCGACACCGAAACCACTCGTCGTCGAAGCAATCGACATCGTCGGGCTACGAAAACACAACATATGACCGCATGATTTACGTCGGCAGGATGATGTTTAGACATTTGCTGTCACTGAGATGCAATCGGTTCGCCGTCGACGAAATTCACTGTCGAATCGGCGATGAGAATAATCATCCCGTGACGATTGCCGGAGCAGTTTCTCCGACTGCCATGATTTTGAATCATTCCTGCGATTTCAACGCCATGTATTTTATGGACCCGACGACTTCGAAGCTGGTTTTCAAAGCTATCGTTCCGATCAAAAAAGGTTCGTGTAGTACTTTTTTTTTTCTTGGAGAAACTATAAAAATACGACATTTCACTCCTCATTGAACTTGTTCACAATTTTCTAATCAATTTAAAAATTCGAAAAATTGTGCCCAAAGACTTCGTTGTAGCGAGATTCTAGAACAGTGCTGTACTGAAAAAAAAAATAACCGCCATACGACGAAAATTTTTACGCGTCCGAAGGGAACACGAGTGAAGTTTTGTAAATTAAATTTTATTATTATTGGTCAACAGGAGAAGAAATCACTCATTCCTACACTTGTAATTATTCCACATCGAAGCTGGAGGAGAGAAGAAAGCATTGTGCTTCGTACGGATTCACGTGTGACTGCAAAGCATGTATTGAAGATTGGCCAACTGCTAAAAAAGCAGCGAGTTTCGAAGAAACCCCTTCGTTTTTGTGCCCAAAATGTGGGCATCATTTATACCCATCCACGGCTAGTGCATCACAAGCTGGTGAGAATTTTCTACTGATTGATCATGAATTTTGTGGGTCATTTCTGGGATAAAATTTCAGGCATAGTAACATTTTCTGCAGCCCGACAGACGATCAAAACAAAAAGAAGAGTAAAAATTACTGCATGGATCTGCAATAAAAGAAAAATTTATTCTTGTATACATGCAACCTAACAACAAAGAAACTCAGCAATTTTTTTTCAATATGGGAGTAAGATGAAAAACTCACAAAAATTCAAAAATTTTCAGCATAATGTGAACTGAGTGGAAAACTCATCACCATGCAGTGACTCTCCTCTGACAAACTTCCGAAAAATTCGAAAAAAAAATTCTAAACGTATTAAAAAAAATATGAAAAAATTAATTTAATTTTTTTCAATTTCCGCCATCACTGAAAATGTTGAATGACATATCGTTAAGCAACCCGCATACGCAATATAATTCATTCCGACGAGCTGAATAAAGGTAGAACGAAGTCACGTGAGAAGCTTCATGTGATTCATATAGATGTCACCCCTAGGACACTTTTCGGGCTTCGCGCGTGCATAATTACAGAATTACACAATTTTCCGAGAAGTACGGATTATACAGACCCAGAAATTAAGCTTCCAGTTCAAGGGTTTGATTCGTTACGGCTTTGAATGTGTAAAGCAACAACACAGAAAGTGACGAGTGGTTCTGATTTTCGAGAAACCATTCAATCGAGTTATGAAATGCAATTTGGAATGGTGGTCATTGCGTTTATTGCGGATTCAAAACAAATTGCCTTCGCCAAAGTCTCTAATTAATAATAAAAGGACTACGGGTGTTGCACTAAGTTTTAAAAATTAACAAACGCAAACTACTCAGGAACAAGGAATGCTAAGAAAATAAACTATGAAGAATCACGGAATATCGAAAATGCTTATTCCGTACACGTAAAACATCGTACATATTCTGAAATCTGAATGCATGACATTTCAGTAGCACCTTAGATTTGTTTCTACCAACGTTGTGAACGATTCGACTTACAAAGTAGCGTCATCAAAACCGTCCTAAACAAAAATGATTGCTTCACCTAACTTCAATTGTGGAAAACCGTGCGTCTAAAGTAGCGTGTGTCCATCATCCGGGGCACAGCTATTATGTGTACCATTTTCTTCTAATTTTCAAACAGGCAAGTTTCAAGTTGAGTTGGTAGGATTTAAATTAAATAGATTCCAAAGTATTTTCAAAAAGCAGCATAATTTCGTGATAAAAAGGAATTATGACGAATGACCGACTGAATTAAATTTTTCTAGGAGGTCCTTTTTTCCTAAAAATAAAGTCCCTTTTTCTGAAAAAAGTCCAATCTGTAAAAAATAGTCCTCTTGGTAAAAAGTTCCTTGTTTCTAAAAAAAAAAGTTCCTTGCTTCTAAAAAAAATGCCTCGTTTCTGAAAAGAAGTTCCTTGTTTCTAAAAAAAAGTTCCTTGTTTCTGAAAAATCCTTGCTTCTAAAAAAATTCCTTGTTCCTGATAAAAATTCCTTGTTTCCGAACAAAAATTATTTGTTCCTGAACAAAGATTCCTTGTTTCTAAAAAAAATTCATTCTTGCTAAAAAAAAAAACAAAGATTCCTTCTTTCTAAAAAAAAATTCATTCCTGCTAAAAAGAAAAAAGTAATCTCTTCTGAAAACATTGTAGGCGACACGAACCTCCGCCACTTGGTGAACACACGGTGCCACAAGTGCGACCACGACGCGGCGGCGGATCTCCAGGAACTCCGAAGCCTGTGTGACGCCTTCCAGGATGGCGCCAAGCTGTTGTGCACCACGACAGGCGCCACCGCAGTGGCGCCCGTCGCTGAGCAATACATGACGCAGCTTCACAAATTGGTTTCCCCGAGATGCCTCGAGTACATATTGGCGGCGGACGCCATCAAAAAAATTTACGCCCGTCAAGGATTCGTCAATGTCGTGGATCCGCTTGACGATAGGACCGACGACGACGACGTCATCTCTGACGTTCATTCCAGATCGATTTTCTGACGTGACGCGAACTTGTGCTTGAAATTTTCTCGTCGATTCTTCGATCCAACAAAAGAGCCTATTGTAGAACCATAACACAGAGAGTTCGTGGCACTTTTATTTATTTTTAAACGCACTGTACTTTGTTTTATCTTCCCTTCCTGCCCCACTTCATGATTCCTTTTCAGACAAATTGCGAAGCAGGAAATCTTAGCTGAATGTAGCTAAAATAAAATGTAGCTAACATAATCATCCAAATTCAAACACCAAAGAATGGACGGTTCGGAACTATAGAACTCAATTTTTCCATTCCTGTAAATCATGAGAAAATGAATGCTGTAATTTCAAAACAAAAAAGTTCAGATTTTTGATCCACTCAGACGAGGAAATTTTGTTGTTCTTGCAGATAGATGGAAATTATTGATTTTTACAACACAGCAAATTCTCAACGGCTCGTCTTCTATCTGGAATTTCTGGAATTGGTTATTTTTTTTAAATTGAAAATGAACACATTCATCAACTTCAATTATTCATAATTTCAAATTATTCATCCATTTGAGTGGTTTCTTGCTGAAGTATTTTCCGCAATATTGATTAATTTATTTTAATCTAATTCATTTTAGCCACCTTGAGGATGTATAATTTATGCATGTGTGATACAGAAAATTTCAGTGCAATATCACATTCTTGGTCTGGCTAATAACGAAATGTTTAGGCAAATGATTATTTTATGAAGTCCGAGATATATTTTAACGCTGAAATACTTTGTGCATTTAAGTATCAAATGCGGCCATTTCGAAAAAAAAGTGCTGTGGAAGAGCTATAAATGTATAATACACGAGATTATTGATGAAATAGAAAAGTGCCATCATCCTTAACTTGCCTCTCAAAGTTTGAGCGTTCCATGAATATTTTGCACATTCCAGAGAGAATTCTTGGATGAACTATTGAGAAGTTTTATATTAAATTTTATATGCCCGTGCTTCTCAGGAATTTTTATCGGAGAGAAATTTTTTTTTTTACTTCCTCGTCGCCCAGGAAAATCTTATTAAATTCTGAACAAAATTCAGCACGTTCCAAGACGAAGACGGCAAATAAGACTCGTGCTATGGCTTCAACAAACAACACTTCATTTGGAGAATCTCTAGATGTGATTTTGCAAGTTCATTTCCCACCTGGTTGAATTATTCGGCTTTGTATTCTCATTAGTTTAAATCATCACATAAAACAAAAAATTAATTATTTACTTTAGAGCGCAATGGTATACAGTAAATTATTTTGGGCGATTAATGCCAATCACGGAACAAAAATTAGAGGAAAATTGGAATGAATATTTTAGGCTTCGGTGGAACAATTATGTTCTTTATGTTACGTCTCTGAAAGTTAATCATATTCGGAAGTAGAAGAACTAAATTCATCACCGCAAAAACAAAAATTGGTTTTACCTCGAAATGTTAGCGTTAAAAAAAAAGAAAAAAATTTACTCCGTCACGCCCAAATCAAACCAGTTCAAAGCTGCACATTTTTTGTTGAAAAACTTCTTCGGGCATCGAATAATCAATCATTCAGGGATTGAATGAAGCAAGAGTCTTTTCGCTCTTTTCTTGGAAGAATAGAAATCCCAAACAGATGTACACCAGTAAAACCCATGTGAACATATCACACAGTTTCAGGGATTATTTCTTTGAAGGGCAAAGGTGGGATGCAGTGAGCATTTGACAGGCGGGAAGACCTGCACGTGAGCTGAATTTCCGGCGATGCCATGACGGAAGCAATTTCAAAAATGGCAGCTTATTTAGGAAACTCATCTTTAATTCGAGTTTTGTCTCAATTTCGAAACTGGCAGCCTTATTTCGGAAAGGCATACGAGTTTTGTCCCACCAGAGGAACGATGCTATTGATCATGGCTGTTGAAAAAAAAATGGACCCCCCTCGAGAAATTTTAGTTTAGAGGACTATAATAAGGTAAATTCAATTATTCTCTTGCCCAAAAAAGAACAAAAATTATGATCTTCACAATACGAGAAGAATTGGCTTTGTAAAGCATAGCATGATTTAAAAACTGCTTTAATGTCTCTTTCCGGTATCTTGTTGACAGTTTTCGGTCGACACAAAGAGAAAAATACAGTATTTAAAACGTCTAAAACGCAAATTCGAGGGGAGTACTGAATTTTTCCTGCAAAACGTATCATTTTTCCTCTAAAAAGCATTATTTTATGACCACGTGATAATACTGCGAAGAAAATCAAGTATTACACATTGGACAGTAAAATCGTGGAAAGATTTCATCTCGCTTTCTGATATCTTGTTTCAGGTTATCGGTCGACACAAAAGGAGCATTCAAAACATTTAAAACGCGAATTCGAAGGAAGTACTGTACTAAATATTTACAAGCTTCTCATTTTCCATAACTTTTCTAAAAAGCAGTATTCTTTGATTACGAGCTGGTGAGATGCTGCAAAGAAAATCAAGTACCCAGGACAGAAAAATCGGAAAATTATTTCCCATCTTCCAGGGGTGAAAGAACAATACGAAACCCACGGCAATGATTCTTGAACGAAAGCCAGTATAAAAAAAGAACTCATTCTTCCAATAATAATGCATCTCCAATTTCAAAAGAATATCGCAGATCAGATGCATTCGGTATATAGAAGAGACAAAGGAAAAGAGGCTCACATTTTCAGGAAAGCATTGGGCGAAAAAAAAAGGCGAAGTGCTAACGCGATATTCTCGATCGCCGCTTCGGAAACAATGATTGAGAACGAAAGGCATCTCAAAGAAGATCCTCCGCCGGGGGAGAAAATGCATGAGGATCATCGCGCAAAAATGGGAAAAATGAGAGCCGGACAATTGCGCGCCACCTCCCTGAGTTTCCTGGAGACAACTGAGCACTTGAAAGCATCACCTTGAGATTATTTAGTGCACCCAATATAAAAATCAGATTAATGCGTCAATTTTCTCAACTCTATCTTTCTTCATGGAATTCTTATTCATCCATCAGATGATTTCAGCTGCCATTGTGTTTCCAAAATTTCAGATACAGATAATGGACCTAATTTATTATGCTGCAAAAAAATTTCCCGCAGACCAGCAAAAAAAATTCTGCAAGAGGACTGGCGCTGGTCTGTGGACCACGGGCTTGGATATGCTGCTATTTGTTCAGTTTTACTGCAGGACTTGGTTTCAATGAATAATTTCATTCAGAATAATACTGAGATCATTTCTTTGTTTAACATTTTTCTGATGATTTCTCATCAAAGATTCTCTCGAAATTGTTCATTCAACTAAACCTTGTCTGGGAACAGGCAAAAGACCTTGTGCTTTAAATTGGGTTCAGTAACTGCTGCAATTGTTATAATTCTGGCTTATGCTGCAATTCTTGCTAAAGATATTCTGTTCTCAAGAAGGTGGTGTACGCATACACATCAGTTGTGCAATTGTACATTGTGGGAAGTACTTACTTTTATTTTGGTTTCCATTTACAGCTGATTACTCTGTTTCCCATTCTGAAGTGATTGAATGCATTTGAATGGATTTGGGTTGGGTGGGGAAGGGGCTTGGATGTGGGAATGTTGATTGAACCTTGTGAATGCTGAAAGGCAGAAAATTAAACTCTCTGTAGATTCATTTATTCATTTTACATCCATTTTACATTTTACATGAGTGCAACAGCATAATTTTAAACAATATAAATTGCATGTGATGCATCAAAAATAATTATGTATTGAAAAATTAGAATGAATTGTTGGTAATTAGAAATAGGATGACAGAATTCTAGTCAGATTAGTATGGCGCCACTGAAATGTTGATACCCAAAATATGTCCAATCCTGTGAGACTGAGTTTGACCTTGAGTTCCCACAAGAACTTGAATTCATCCAGGAGAAATCTTGCAAAAAGGGGATAATTCTGTTCAGGGACAAAATTTTGCAAAATGAACGAGTTTAAATACTGAATTGACTATATGTTCCATTGTTAGTTGTTCTTGGTTGGTCTCAGGCAAAAGACTGCTGCTTGCCAATCTGCTGTTTTTCAAAAAATTTTACTTCCATCCGATATATACCTACCTTACACTAGGGTGTAAAGCACCCCGGCTGATTTTTTTTCGGATTTTATTTTGAAAGAGATCTTAAATCCAAAAGATTTCAATATACTTCAAATATGTTCATAACACAAATTATACGTTGATTAGTTCACAGGTGCTAAAAATAATATTAACAGACTGAAGGACATAAATCCAAGAAAAAATAGGCGCTGCATTATCCACAGAAAAAAACAGAGCTATGCTGCCTTGCTACGTTCAGTTTCAAAGTACTGTATAGTACTAATTCCTTGATCCGAAATTTCAATTGTTACTGTTCTCCATAAATCATTCTCAAATTGGAAGTACGCAAATAATGAATGAATGAACAGAAAACTTTATTTGCCCCTTTTCAGCGTTCACAAGGTACAACCAAAACTCCCGCATCCAAAACCCTTTCCCCACCCAACCCAACTCCCCCAAAATACATTCAATCACTTCAAAGCATGAAACAAAGCATAAACCAATGACAAAAACAAAAGAGAACACATAAAGGACATGACTCCGAGTTGTCCTTTGGCGACGCTGAGTTGTCCTTCCAACTACGCTCACTTGACGCGGCGTCCCACGCCAGAATGCGGGGGACCCTCATCAAAAATTAATGGAATGCGGCGCCTCTTTCCGTCCCGCTTCCACACTCATCAAGTCCCCCGGAGGCATTAATCAACCGCCGTCGATCAACCCGCAAGAGACGTACGTAACTCATCTCAGGCGCCTTAAAAAGGCCTCATGAATTCCTTAACGACTGAGGTGATGAGACGACCCAGCACCAGCTTCGCTCAATTACGCAGTCGCCTTGCCGAAAAGAGGAGAAACCAGAAAACAAAAGGAAGAAAGAAAGAGAGCTTTTCTGTAAGCTCTCTCTCTTTCTTGAGTGAGTGTGGGGGATTTTCTTGAGGAGGTTCTCGGATCCGAAAATGGCTTCCGGGTCGGTTGTCACGAAAAATCTGACAGATGGGCACCATAAATAAGTTCACGAGACAGAAAAGTAAGTGTTGTATACCCATGATTTTTAAACGTATCA